CTTTCCTCTTTTCCTTCTTTCTTTCTGCCATGGGGATTAAGGCCAAGGCCTTTGCACTGAGCTACTTTTCAGCTGTTTTCTTATTTTGAGAGACAGTTTCATAAAGTCACCAAATTGCTATTATGGTTTATATCTAGATGTCCCCCAAGAGCTTCGTGTGCTCATAGGTGGGGGTTTTGAAAGGTGAGTGGATTATGGGGGATTATAGCTGACTTGCTGTGAGGGGGTAGGGACTGGTCAGAGGGTTAGGTCACTGAGGGCATGGCCTGAAAGGGTTTAATCTCCTTCCCTGGCTTCTGCCTTTGCATTCTCTGCTTCCTAACTGCCATGCTGTGAGTATCTTCCTTTGCCATGAACTAAAATAAGCCTCGCCTCCCTTAAATTGTGGGTGTCTTGTGTTTTCTCCCAGCAATGAGAGAAGTGACTAAGACAGTTGCCTAGGCTGGTCTTGAATTTGCCTCCTGCCTCAGTCTCCCAGAGTGCTGGGATTACCAGTGTATACCACCAGGTGTGTCTTCTGTCGTTATTCTAAGACTGACCATGAAGAAATCTAGAGCATCAAATGTTTTACATATTTGTATTGAGATAGGACATGGAATTCTATTTTGGAAAAATACCCCTCAAGATTTGTGCCTTATCAGCACTAGTGATTTTTTCAAGTCTCTGTAACCAGTGCTAAAATATATGCCTAAGCACAAGACTTAGTATTTTAGACATGGTAAAATAAATACATGAAAGGAGGATTGGCAAAGTTGAAGTGATTCAACTCAGAATGCAAGCTCCCTGAAGGCAGGAGCATTGTTATGATCTATCTAGAGAAATAAGAATATTTTTTAGGAGTGAATGTTAGGCCTATTTACTCTTACCATTGTGATTGTAGCTCAGAGGAATTTCCATTGATGGTACAGAAATCCTGTTTTGGAACCTGGATCTTATGTTCATCATAACCAGCAGGTGTGAGGATAGTTGCCATATGGTTTATGCTGGTATTATCAAGACTTTTGTCTTTTGTGTACATTTCACTTCCACAGGAAAAGAAGGCCACCTTTGGAGAAAGTTTGCTCATTGGTAACTTTGAAGAACTCTTTGAATTCTGTACTTCTTTACCTTCTGAAAAATATGATTGTCAGTTAAGATAGAAAGGGAGGATTTTACTTTTAGCTCAAAGCTGAATTGGAACAAGGAGATTTCGAAGAGCAATCACCTGGGAAAACAAAGAGTTTTGCTGTCGAGACTGCGGTCCCAGCCTCATTTTCTGCAATGCACTTGAACTCCCCAGAATCTTCAGGAAATGCTTCTGTTATAATCAGGGTACAGACTTCCTCTGGAAGGGAAGAAAATTCCACTTGATCAGCATATTTATAGGTCCCAAACAATATATAGAAGAATGTCAGGGAGAATAGGTACTAAGATTAAATACTTTTCTTAACATTAAAAATATCCATCTGGCTGGGTGTGGTGGTACACACCAGTAATCCCAGCACTCAGAAGGCTGAGGCAGGAGGATCACTGTGAGTTCGAGGCCAGCCTGGGCTACATAGTGAGTTCAAGGCCAGCCTGAACTACAAAGTGAGACTTTGTCTCAAAAAAATTCTATCTGATTAAATAATTCGACATCTTAAAGGCTCATGAATATAAATCTTAAACATAATCATAGCAAAGGTGTTATCACTTGCCTCTCAGACACATCTGTTTTCTCAGTTTCCTGACTATGAGTTCCTTGAAAGCAGGAATTAAACTTTATTCCTTTACTTTTATATTTCTGTAGCTGTAGTGCTTAAGCACTAAATATGAAAGTCATAGGACTATAGAACTATTTTCTGAACTGACCTGAAAAGTGTAATTGCTGTGGGATGTAGACCCAGGGGTTATGCAGTGACAACCACTGTGTGATGGGCACCGCACCTACTTCTGGACATTCAACTGTGTGAGTGTTTAATGTCAGGACAGCTCCCCACTGCTTCTGTGTAGCCGATGAGTCACAAGTACACTGCTGAAAGGATTTAGGGGGAGAACGCGGTACGCGTACACTCTGCGGGCAGGGATCTTGTCAGTGTGGTTCATTACTGTCTCCGTAGTTCCAAGAACAGATTCTAGCCATAGTCTGTACTCAGGAAACATGTTGAGTGAATGAGTATATGAATGAATACATTGACAAATCCCGGTTATCTTGCTGCTTCTGTTGTGGCAATGCAAAAGTTGGTATAGGGCAGCCTCAAAAGAATTGAAACCACTTTTCGATGCTAATTTTGATCTAATCAATTATCAAGGTGTTGAAAAATTGTACTTACCAGGAGTGGATGATAAAGAAGCTTCTGAAAATTAAAAAGAGAGAAAAAGGAGATAACTTAAATGATGACAATTAATTTAGCTAGAAGGGGCCATGTGTCACAGACTATAAATTCTACAAAAGATCAGAAAAGGAACGTAAAGGAGTGAACATTTGGCAGGGTGATAGAATTTAATTTTAGTACAGATTCTACCACTAATTTACTCTGTGACCTTGTAAAAATAACTTCTTTAGACCTTAGTTCCTCATCTTTAACATGAAAGTAAGATCAGATTAGTATCTTTTCTTTGAATGTGAACCCCTGCTGAACACTAATCCTGAAGTGGTCTTTTTTCCCCAAAAAAAGATTCATTTCTCTTAATATTTCCCATTAACATAAAATTGAAAACAACATTTAAAAATATAGTAGTATAGTGTAGAAAAAGTACAAAAGCTTAACAATAGTTTTTCTGGGCTATGAAAAATACTGGTAATTTAAAACTTCTTTATGTTGTATATTTTTCAGATTTATTATAATAAATGAAAAATACAATAAATTTTATTAAGAGAAATAACATCCACTTCATCTAATAAGGAGTTATTTCTTCCTAAATGTGATGTGCAAGTGTTCCTTTGTTCTGAATTAATACTTAAACGTATGTATTTTCTTCATTTGGCATAAGAATTATCTTGGACTTGAACCTTAACCATTTTCTAGCTTTGTAACCTTGAGCATAGCTTTTGCATTTCTGGTTACAGTTTTCTTACTCTTAAGATGGGGATGATAACACATGTATCTCAAAATGCTCATGTAAGGATTAAATGAGGAATTGTTTCTGGAATATGAACTCGGAGTTCAGCATAAGGTGGACCACCATACCTGCTATCCTTTCCTAATTCATTCCTTTGTAGGGAAATTATGCAATAAAGTATCTTAAAAAGGTATGTATCATTTTCATTTGTTGTACTCTTTAAGAAATAATGTAGTCTCACATTTCTTTTTGTTTATATAACAAAAAGTCATTGAGAGATAATTGAGATTACCTTGTGCAAATAACCTAGAGTTTGCACAGCTACTAAAATTGTTTTTCAGTGTAATGCTGTGGCACACATCTGTAATGTGAGCTCTAGGGCGGCTGAGGCAGTGGGATTGTTTAAGCCAAGGGGTTCAACATCATCCTGGGCCCTATAGTGAAATCCTGACTCAAAACTTTAAAAGTATTATTTTATTAAAGCAACAACTGTCTTTCCCTTTTCATTTTAAGAATGTTCTCATTGTTAGGTATTTATTTTTGTGCTACTGGGGATGGGCCCTAGGGCATGCTCTCCCATGGAGCTACAGCTATAGCTCTATCTTTTTTTTCTGTTGCCCAATCCTTTGGATTTGAAATAACAGTTGCTTAACAACAGAAACCATTTAGCCTGTAACAGATCAGGTGTTAAACTGCTTTAACACATGAATTAGATTTTGAAGTGAATTGAAATTAAATGCAGTCGAAAAGCTCATCACAATACTTTTCCTCAGAATACGGAAGTCGTCTGAGTCGGCTATCTGCTCTTTCTCTCTGTACCAGTGAACTTGAACTGTGGCTGTGGCCTGGACTCTGCATTCGAACACGACACGCTGACCTCTGGTTGTAGAGAGGTCTTGAAGATGCTGAAGAAAAAACAGAGTTCGCAGAGTGGAAGAGACTTTGTACCGTACACCACACCGAGATTTGGGGTGCCACCCTTAGTAAGTGTGCCTGCCCTTCCATAATTATTGAAAACTGGTTTTACCTTGACCAAAACAAGGAGCTGTTGGCATTCTTTGGGGCTTTTAAGTATGCTGCACAGTCAGTTGTAAATTCTTTTTATCTTAACTCCATGGATCAGTGTTTAATGTAAAAACCGTTGTTCATTTCCCCAACGGCCATTTTTCAAACTAGAGAAAACATCAATTGAAAAGCCCTTGTTTTGGTGAATTTGATTATTTTGTTGAGTATATATCTACTCACAGACTTAGTCTATGTTATTGGTCACAGTGTCACGGGCAGTATTATAGTTTGTTAAGAGCTCTGAATTATAATTTATAGCACTTAGACCAAACTTAACTCCATTCTCTCACCCCTTTTTACTTTGATTTTTTATATATACAAAATGATAATTCTCCCTGAAGTCCTTCTCATTTCTCCTTGCTTTTTTCATGCTTCTTTGGTGAAGTCTGAAGTTTATCTATAAAATTCAAACTCTGTCATGCAGTAAGAATGTTACCTTGGTGAACACAGGGGGTGCCACGCAAGTAGATCCTGACAGACTACTGCAGGGACTCTGCATCTGGTTTAAGGAATAAAAGAGAACATGACACTATAATCCATACAGGCACTTCCCCGAAACCCAGATATATGGTGGCCATGAACTCACTGGATCAGTTTTAGCTGCTACAAACAGGTTCAGTTTTGGCCACTTCCAGCTATACCCTACGTTTCCTTTTTGAGAAGCATAATGCATCTAATGGAAATGCTAGTTTGGATGTCTGCTTCCTCGCCACCCTTTCTTTTTTCTCCTCTAGCATTCCACCCACCAGGATGCTGAAATACAACACTGGGCCTTACATTTGGGAGATAGGTATTGGCAAGTACTTGGAGACTATATAACAAAAGTTTAAGTGACCTCTAAATTTTACTGTCTAAATTTTTTCACCTTAGTGCAGTTGCTCTTATTGGATCAAAAAAGCATTTCCTTTTTCAAAAGAGCACTTCCTTTCCTTATAAATAAAAGGGAATTCATTCTTTGGATGGTTGGAATACTCCCTTCTGCTTTGGCATGCAGACAAATCGTCATGCCATAGAGCCACCATGGAGCTATTCCTGAGACCCATGAATCTCCTTCTCGTTCCTTCTGAAGTCATGCAGCTGGCAGCTTTTTTCATGCATATTTTTCAAGATAGCTGTATTGATTCTTTCTTTTCTTGACCTATTTCTCCATTTCTGAGACCCTATAAGAGGGCTTAGGACAGAACTTACCCTCTGGGGATCAACACACAGGGGCTGAACTAAGGTAGAATAACTTGACCTGGTGTAAGAGTTTTCATTAACTGGGGAACTGATGGTCAGAGAAACTCTAGTGATTTTCTTCTTTATGCTGTAGGGAAAACAAAACCAAACACAGTCCAGCAAGAGGAAAATTAGAAGTGGCTTTGACAAAAAAAAAAGCCTCACTCCATACATTTGAATGTAGCAAATATTTTTATCTGTAATCCTTTTAAAAAAAGATTTAAGTAATAATTTCAGTAGTATTTTAACCAATTATTAGTGGATTATGTCTCCTAATAGTTTCACTTTAAATTTCCTCTGTCTCAGTCTGACCATCAGTGGAGTGTTATGAGACACTTTAACCAGAAGTGATAACTTATAAAGCAAATAATCATTTCACAGTTTCTCTGGGAAATATTAGGGTATTCTTGCATTTTTAAAAGTGAAGTTTCTCTTATATTCATACATGACAAATGCATATCCACTTGTAATTCAGCACTTACTCTGACATTTCTGTAGCATATTCCAAGCACAATCCCAGAGGAAAAAGCTTTTTCTTACTTCCCTGGGCACCTATGTGAAAGAAAAAAAAATTAGGTACAAATCTTGCTGGGATTTAAAAAAAAGTTAGTTCAGGTATATGGTATTTATTTCAGGACCAGTAAGTTATTTAGTTATAGACAGCCAGTTAATCTAATCTGAATTCTTGACTAAGGATGGAATGTTCTTAATTTTAAAAATCCAGATGTTTGCCTTTTGCAGTTATAGCATTGCGCCTAGGAGAGAGAGTAATTTTCCAAAAACATCTTTTCCAATGTTATGGTTTGAGTATGGCTTGTCCTTCTGAAACTCAGGTTGAAATTTGATTGCCATTGCAGAGGAGGTGGGGCCTTTATGAGACGATTAAGCCGTTAGAAGAGACTAATGCATTTTTACAGGATTGAGTTAATTCTGACAGTATGAGTTACTACAAGAGCTGGGTGTTATAAGCGAGGCTGTTCCTTATATTTCACCTTTTCTGCACAACCTCACCTCCCCTTCTGACTTCCGCCACATTCTGAAGCAGTATGAGGCATTTGCCAAAGGCAACTGCCCGATCTTAGACTTTCTATTGCCAGAACTGTGAGCCTGAATAAGTCTCTTTTCTTTATAATTTCCCAGTCTCAGGTATTCTGTCATAGCAACAGAAAATAGACTCAGACAGAGGATATACTTTGGAGTCTGTGAATTTGTATTTTGGTCTGAAATTTCAGGTTATTTGTAATTAAAAATCCACTAAAACAAACTGCAATACTTCCTATAAGAAGGATGTTGGCTTAGTCCAGGCTGCTATGATGAAAATACTTTATCCTGGGTAATTTGTAGACAATAGGATTTTATTGTTCATAGTTCTGCTTGGATGTTGGTTCACTGGAGATTGTGATATTCAAGATGAAGGTGCCAGCAGATTTTGGAGTCTGATTGAGTCTCTTTCATAAGGGAACTAATCCCATTTTTGAGGTGGGAGCCCTCACTTCCCAGAGGTCTGACCTCCTAATAGGATCACACAGAGTATTAAGTTCTAATGTACAAATTTTAGGGGAACACCAACATTCAAACGGTAGAAGATGTTGTCAACGTTCATATCATCTCAATGGTGATTTTCTAGGGAAATGTATCTCAATTGTTAATATCAGAATTGTACTGCTGATGTCTAATGGTTTATTGAAAGGAACAGTTAGCTTAAAAAATTTTTTGACCAATTTTGCATGCTTATATCTGACAATCTGAACAACTAATCTGAAGACAACAATTGCAATATAGCAACCATTGCTGATTTCCTACCATCCTGTTTGGTGAAGCTCTGTATCATTTCTAATGTTTTATTATTATTATTATTATTCTCTTTAATGGTTTGATCAATCTTGCATTCTTACATCTGGTAAGCTGAGCAGCTTCACTGAAGATAACAATATGTAATAGAACAGCCACTGTTAATTCCTATCATTTTGTTTTGAAAGTTTGTATCATTTTTATTGTTTTTGCTTTGTTTTGTTTTTGTCTATGTTGTTATTTTATTATTGTTTTTATTATCTGTATAAAATAAATAAATAAATAAATAGGCTTCTTCCAGGCTATTAGTTGAGGTTTTCTTCACAGACAGTGCATCTTAATGTTGGTTATATTACCCTCTGTGTTAGCGCTCACTTCAGTCAGTAATCTAACAGAGGTTAGAGGAATGATCTCCTAAATTTATAACATGATCCTTTTCAAAAAAGACTGTATCTGTGATGATTTATTTCCCCAAGCAAATATTTAGGTTCTGTTCCCCACCACCACCAAGAAATTTCATGCAATTTCTAAGTAAAAGTAGACTGTAAGATTTAGATCAGCCTGAATAATAGTATATTTCAATTTCTAAGGAAGCTAATAGTATTGTTGGAGACCACCACAAGGTGGCTCTGAGTAAGATTTAATATTAACCAATTAGGTTTCCATGTTTACTTGTCAATCTGTCCAAGGCCTAGGCTCCTTATCTGGAGATGGAGGACTCATAGTAAATGGATGTCTGTGAGTCACTAATCTCTACTAGAACCTGTCGTGGTGGATGAAGCCAGAAAGCCTCAAAGGATAAGACAAGATCACAGCCCAGGACACCTGGATCAGATCTCAATTGGATAAAGACTATAGCCTCAGGCATTGCATTCTTCAGTGGATTAATTTAATACCCTACTTAGAGAAATCCTTGAGTGGTTCCACCCTTCTTGAGCAGACGCCTCCCGTCTTCTGATAACTAAATAAATATGGGTGACCCAGAGAAGTTCTTGGTCTTAGCCCAGAGAGAATTTTAAATTGAGAGGGCTTTGATCCTCCTGGGGCCCTAAAATCATTCCATTTTGCCTCTTTTTATTTAGCTTTCACCATACACTCATTCAGGGGATTGCAGACTTGATCAGCCTGCAATAACTAAGAGATATTATTATTCCCATATAATATAACAAAATAGAGTATTTGAAATTGTTACTATCCCAGAAAATCTAGACCATAAAGTCATTTTATATAACAATGCTTTAATGAAGAAAATTAGTTCCCACTTAAAAGTCCTTTATATATTGTGTTTGATGCTGTCATTAGAACTAGAATTACTATATCTAAATTTCTTCCCAACCTCAATATATCATCCCCATAATATTTGTTGCTTTTTTAGTCTTTAAGAATCTTTTATTATTTTGAAGTTTTATAACCATATAGCTTAAAACTTAGGTGATATAAAAGATTTACTAGTACTACTTCATATTTTATTTCTTAAGGAAAACAGTGACTATAGAATGTACATTTTATAATCATTCACACTATATATATATGGATATATATATATTTACTCTTTTCTATGTATGTGGTTTTATAATACATTTGTAAGATTAAAATAAAACTATGAATAGGAATTGCTTTTAGTTTTTGGAAGTTCTGTGTTGTTTTTTAGTTTCAAAGAGCAAATATGAGTTATTCTTTTTTTAATTTTTTTTTTTTTTACCAGAATATGTTTGTAGTATATAATTTGAACATCCCTGTGGGCAGTTGGTACATGTACATAATACATCTCAGTTCCTCCTTTCATCCCTTTTCCTTTCCTCCCCCCATCTGTCTCTTGCCCACCCCCCCATTTTTGTACATGTTTGCAGCTTACATTCCTTGTGTGGAGTTGGTACATGCACGTAACACAGAGTTATTCTTCAGTAGTTCAGAGGAGGGTACATTCAGGGTACTGCAAATATGCATGGGATAAATGGATGGTAATCATGCACAGAATAGCTTGATGTTGAAGTACGAGCACAAACATAACACACACCTATGGACTCTACACTGGGTGGATTCAAACTTAACTGCAGTCATTTCTTTAGTGAATGAAAACCTCACAGATACTCAAACTCTTGAATTGATAAATATTTCCTGATGCCTTCTACCCTAGGGCCCCAGGAGCCATGCAACGATGTTTGGAATTAACTGGTAAAATTTACATATATGAAGCTCAATAATGCAAAACATAATAATAATGTAGAGCCAGTCACAGTGGCACATAGCTGTAATCCCAGCTACTCAAGAGGCTGAGGCAAGAGGATACAAATTTGAAGCTAGCTTGGGCAATTTAGCAAGACCTCCAAAATAAACTTTTTTTTTAAAAAAAGGCTGGGGATATAGCTCAGTGGTACAGCACTTGCCTGGCATGTGTGAGCTCCTGGGTTCAATCCCCATGACATAAAATTATAGTGATGGATACGTATCATCTTACAGTGTCACAAGATCAGAAATACTAATATCATACTGCATATTGCATTGACTTCCCAGGACAGCACATGATCGCCTAGCAGGGTATTAGAAGTAGAAGCTTGAAGTAAGTAAAGGGAGAGGCTTGACTGATCTAAGAACACTCTGCACAGGATCTTCAATGAGACCATAGAGAATGTTTAAAACTATAAAGGTGAGGGTCGGGTGTGGTGGCACACACCTGTAATCCCAACATTCCAGAGGCTGAGGCAGGAGGATCATTGTGAGTTCGAGACCAGCCTGGGCTACAAAGTGAGCTCAAGGCCAGCCTGAACTGCATAGTGAGACCCTGTCTCAAAAAGACTAAAAAAAAAACCAAAAACAAACCTGTAAAGGTGAGGTATGTAGGCCTGAGTCAGGGACAGAGTTTCAGAGTAAATGATGGTGGAGAATGGAAGAGGTGAGTGGGGAGTAACATTTATGGAACACTGTGCATCAGACACTGCATTTCCTTTATCTCATAAGTGAGGAAAGCAGTCTGTGACCATGAAATGGGATTGTATACTCTGGATTCAGATTTCCTGGTTATTTCACTAAGTATATTTGGCTTCCCCGTAAGTCTCAGTTTCCTCATCTGTAAAACAGGCACCCTAATAGTGTTTATTTCTAGAGTTGTCTTGAGAATTTGATGAGCTAGCCCCCAAAAACACTTAATTTCTTACATAACATATATCACACACTCAGAATGCTATTTGCTATAATGATTGTGGTGGTGGTTATAAGTAGATCCAGGAGATGTTTTGCTTTCCCTTGACACTTCTAATCTAGGCTTACCTAGTATTTTCTTCTCTTGTGAACTTAGAGCTTCTATAGTAGGCTTTAAAAAAACCCTATTTTCTATCATACACTTTTTTGTGGAAGCTCCTTAAGGTCAAAGATCTTTTAATATGTCTCTTATCCCCAAAGAATCTATCCTCATGTTAACATACAGTGGCTGCGGAGCGGACTGATTTTATAGATTATTGCATACAGAGATACTAGTATTAGTTTTCCTAGGAGGTGTTTGTTGCTTTGTATTGTTTCCCTCAACTACATCCACAAATAAAAACCACAGACAGGGATTACTTCTCTTTTGATCTTGGCAGTAAGTTCTGACACCATCTCAGCCCATGATTGGTTAACTGTAAAACTTCAGGCCAACAGAAGACACGAGAAATCTTCCTATCCAACATCTTCAGAGAACAAAAGTAAGCTTTGGAAAGGTGATATTATTTGTCCAAGTCCATGCAATCTATTGGTAGAAGAGGCAAGATTAGAAACTAACTCTT